GGGCGAACAAGAGTGACGATAAACAACCCACGCGATATCGGAGATACGAAAAGTTTAAGGACGTCCCCCAATGGTGCAATATATATCTTGTTAATGTAATGGACTTAAAGGTGATGCACGGTCTTCGTTCATCAAGTGCATTTAACGACTTGTGTGTAATATTTTTTACAGAAATATTTTCACCTTTTTTGTCGTTCGCCCAGGATAGCGAACTCACGAACGAAACGAGAGGTGGGAGCACGCGCGAATCGAATGTCCACTTATTACCGCACAAAATCGTATAAAAGAATTTAAGCCGCCATTGCCGCGGCTGCGGCATGGAGGTAGCGCGGGAAAACTTTCGACGTATGCTCACCGTTAATTAAATTTCGCTCTTTCCCATCTTTACGGCGGACGCAACTCGAGATCCCCAGGTCTCGGGTTAAACCTCGCTCGTAAAAACGCGGAGCCCTCGCGCTCGCGTGTTTCATCCTCTCTTTTCCTTCCGTCTCCTTTTTCCTACGTTGATTGTAATTAAACATAATTACCGGAGCGCGCGATCCATTTTGTTCGCGAAGATACAATGTGTGTGTGTGATGAACGACGGAGGTGTTTCTAAAATCAGGTGGAGGGAGGAAAGGCCGTAAAAGATGTGACGAAACGTGAAAAATGATGTCAGATCGTGAGAACGAGAAAAAATATTACTCTAAAAAATATTGTTCTCGGAACCCGAGATCACGCGGATGATCCAAATGCGCCAATTTCAACAGTCTCTATATCCAACTGATTATCGAATTGCCGAGTAATGTTTTTTGTTATGCATTGTACACCGAGATATCAGATATCACGAGAATTAAAGTAATTATTATTCTTTTCGCTACGTTACGTCGGCGGTGATAAGAGCAGGCGTAAAGTAAGTAAAATACAAGCAAGATACACACGGGGAACGTTCATTAAATATTTTACCGTGGCAAAAATATAGCGAGCGCACGGCTTAAACGAATACAACTGGTAACATAACGCCGTGCGCTGATGCGTGTCGTGAGATAAAATGCCTCGAAGGTTGAAACGTAGACATGAATTAAGACGCGGAACACAAACATTAAGATTCATGTCTCGCTTATTTATTGTACGCGTAATTTCAGCACGGGAGGCATGAATCTTCCAACAGCCAGAAGCTGGGATTTTCCGTTCGTATAATTTCCGAAAAACGTCCGAACCAGGCAGATCCTTCGGGATACTGGTTCTCGGGATACTGCGCTAAGTGTAAAGCCTCGGAAAATGGAGCAACGAGAACAATATCGCGTTTGTTACGGGACGACAAACGTCACTGGGAATTTATCTTCTGATCGCGCGCGATATTTCGAAAGCACGTAATGCAATAAAATGGTGCCAGGCGGACAGATGCAGAGGAGGAGAGGAAGAGAGAATAGAAAATATATATCTTGGCGTGCGATTTAATTTAATTTCCATAGTCGACTCGTCCCCGATGCTCCGGGTTCTCGACCCGGCCGGCGCGCGGCCGGGCTGCGCTTCATAGAGAATCCGTTTATCCCCTGTTTAACCCATCGACGGCGATGCGACGTCGCGTGATTGTTTTTATTCGCCGAGCAGAAAATGCGAAAACGGAACGTCTACAAATGCGAATATTTGCCCGCATTAATAATACATATAATATCCTGCCCGTGTGCTCGGCGCACTCGGCTAAACTCCACCGCTTTTGCGAACTGAGTGTCTCGTTAGCAAAACTGATAGATACGCTCGAGCGCGCAAACGAATTTTCGAATGAATTTTTGAAACCGCCCGTCCTCATTTTGTCAGTCATTTCGCATTTGTCAAAAAAGGACTTTTCCCGTTCGGGAAAATCAAGAAATTATTCAAGTATCTAAAAAAAGACAACGAAATAAAGACAGAAACGAACCTTACAATACAAATTTCACCGTTGTACTTCTGATATCATCCGTTTTTAGTCTCTTTTTAACTCATTTATATACTCGTTTCTTGCACTCTCAAGCACGCGTGGTCTATTAAGCGAAGGAACATGACACGAGTATATATTTTTGAGATTGCCCGTCTTTAATACTCATTTTCCAGCTGATAATTGATAATACGTTAATATTTCTTGTTAACATTGCTCTTTTATTTTATAGTTTTGTTTTAATATGGGAAAAAAATCACGTTAAAAAATCATGCGTTTACTCATGTTTATTAAATACTCGTTATAAGAAAGTGCCTCTTTCCGATCTAAAAACAGGATCATACTCATCTTCAGACGAATATCGCCATTACTATTCAAATTAAGTTTTTGCGGGCTGAAAATATTGAATTATTTTTGTGAGAGAACGTTTTAATCTTTCAAATCTTTTTAAAGACGTCTTTCAGTCCTTTGTTGTGTTCACAGCAAATTCCAAGAAGTCAAGTATCAAAATTATCGGTTGTAACAAACTCAAGTTTTACGCGACTCGAGAGTTCTAGACTCGCCAGAGTGACCATTATTATACTTGATTCGATAAAACTTCTGTCTTTACCAAGACAATCGACACGCGAAACACAACGTCTCGGTTACTCTGTGCTGTGCTGGAAATCTTTTTCTATCCGCAGGGCTGTTTTCGTCCTGTCTCTTTCTCCTTTTGTCTGACTACCTCCGACCGACCAATCCCGCCGCTCTACCGGGCTCGCCTCGACGAACCAACTCGCATTAATTGCCGGGAGTCACGACATGTCTCCATTACTCAAGAGCTTCGTTAAAGGGAGGCGAAGGGGATAAGAGAGGCCCGGCCCGGCAAGGATAAGGGGGCGAGGGAGATAAAGGAGGTCGCAACCATGTTTCACCATTATTTTTCACAAATTGGGCTCGCGTCGCCGTTATCCTTAACGAGAATTGAACTACCCCCCTCCCCCCGCCATCGTCCGATGGAATGAAAAAAAAAAAAAGGTTTCCTGTTTATCGTTTTCGCGGAATTTCATCTGAGCTCGGCTTCTGTTATTCCTCGAACACGTGAAATAACCCCGGTTAAACATCCCGAATCGCATTGTGTTATATTTCCGATTTTGTAGTGAGTTTCTATATCGTGCGCGCGCGACGTCGATCTCGTCGTCATCATAGAATATAGAAGCTAAATGGACCGCACCCACGCGTTACAGCTTCCACTAATTAATCAGAAATTTCCTGTCGGCACCGCCGACCGACCGATGCAACTAATAGACCCTGCTCCGAATCTCCCTACCAATTATCCCACCGTGTACTAATTAGCATATATGACCGTGGTAACAAAGTTTCCTCCGCCTCCGACAATGCCGTCCGCGGTCTTGCGGAAACTTACGGCTTCAATAATTCGTAAATCTACCAACCGCTCGCGGACCAACGTATGTATTATTATACATATATAACTTGGCGTTTTGAAGTTTTGTTCGACTTAAGCGAGATTAGCATTAAGTAAAAAAGTCATAAATCAAAATCAAACACGAGCACCTGTATTCTTAGCATTAGTATTCTTAGGTAAAAAGGGCGAGCTTAATATTTAATAATAGAACAAGAACGTTCAATTGTGGGACTGAATGTGGGACCATTTGAATGTGGATTACAGAAACGGGAAAATATGAAGTGCGAAATTGCTCTTTTAACTCCGACAGAGTCGAAAGACTTGAAAGATCGGGCGGTTATCAGAGCCGGGGTTGTACGCGACGGAAAAATTACCGACACCCGCCTCCTGCGTGCGAAACTTTAGCAGTTTATTATAACCGAATGCCGACATAGTTCTCCCGGCAGTGCCGGAGTTTCAAGCAATGGGACGAAATAATCGCGTTTTTACGATACTCGCGCCGAGTTTTACGAGAATCGGAAGCCTCGGCGGCGCTTTTGTGCGGTAAAACTTGTTCGAATGCCACACGCGTCATAAAATCGACAAAGCCGGGCGGTGCGGCGCGGAGTTTTATCATGCTATCCCGGCATACTTTTCGCGTCTAACGCGAGCGAGTTCGTTCGTTTTTTAAATGTACCAGAGCGAAACGCGCACGTATAAATAATATTGTACTGCAAGCGCTGAATTAAATCTCGTTAAAATATTTTATTCCCGTTACATTATTACAGTATATAATGATCATTATAATGTAATAATTATGAAGAAAATAGCTGCGTTATGTATAATTATGCAGCAATTTATTGCAAGGTTTGAAAAACAAGATTCTAAAATTACGAAAATACCATCACGAAAATATTTAACATTGTAAACAGCTTTGATGACTTTTGGTTTTCCGCGACGTGTTTCTTTTTTTCTTTTTTGCCCTCGACTCCCAGGCGATGCTCGACAGAAAGAGGAGGAGCCCCTCCCCGGTACAGCGGGAAGGGTGACTCTCGTAATATCCCGCCAGTAGATCGGACTTTACATCTGGCTAATTAAGCATTGATAACTAACGAGGTTCCTTTGTGCCGCGGCCGCCGCGGGAGATGAAAGTCCTCGGAAAATTTCAACCGACACGTCGGATTAAATGCTTTAGCGCGCGCGTGCTCGTCGAACCCCGAGCTCGCAACTCGATGTGAACTACGACTTTAATCCCCCGTTGACGCGAATTGCTCGGGGCATGTTCCCGTTGGGCGTGCGGATTTTTTCTTCTCTCCTTCCGCCACCGTTGTTGCGTAGAAGAAGGGTTCGCCTCGCGTATAAGAGCCGCGACGTCAGACGAGCCGGAATCGATCGCCCCGGAACGGGGCGCGCGCGTTTCCTGCTTTATCATGCGGGGGACGATGATTAATTTAACGACCTCTCATACAAGCCGGGTCCTTTTGAGCGCGGCGGCGAGCGATTGTTTGATTTTGTCGAGAGGGGTGTGCGGGAACGAGGGCACGCGAACCCACACTGCAGGGTATATAATGCCGTGAGCGTTTTCCCTGTTCTCTCTTTTTTTTTGCGTATACCAATGCACGCCCGTTAATTGGCGGCGCCGATTAAGCAGAGAGAGAGAGAGAGAGAGAGAGAAACTAGATCGATTGTAAAAAACCATATTCCGCTTTTCTGTTGCAGTTCTACCAGCTCCTGGAAGCCAGTCAAGTGGCCAATACTACCCTCACGTACCGCCACGTGACCGTGTTTGCGCCCACTAATCGAGCGTTCCAGAAGTACAATGGCAGCACGAAGAATTTGGTTTTGTATCACATGTGTGAGTAGAGAACGCAATGTTTATTCAGCCTAAGATAGATTTAAATTAAAGTGGATTTAGATGTAGACATATGTATGGACACATCGTCAGCTATCTTATTTAAACGACGATGCAAGAACATAAAGATGGCGATTTAGTCCTGGCAATTTATATATTTAAGATTATAATAACTGTATCGAGAGACTATATAAGATCTGCAGTGAATGAAAAGCTGGAGATAGCTGCATCTGGTAGCGTATTGCGTGTACAAATTATAGTTTTTACTAATGCGTAACAGAGAAAGGAATTATCGCGACACGATTATTTAAATCCCCATCAGCAGAAACATCACGAATTCGAAGCAAACTCGACGAATTTGTGCAGAATCAACAAACGGTCGAGGAAATCTCGTTGTCTCCGCTATTGCATCACGCGGTATTCCCCGGAATAGGCCGCGGCGCGGCGGTGTGTCGGCGCGACGCGGAGAAAATTCTCAACACGGCCGTGGAAACTCAATTTCCACGGTTTGGCGGAGAGACCCCCCCGCTCCGCCTCTCCCGCATCTGCATTATTTCCTTTCTTCGTCCGGTTTTCGCGCGCGCCGGAGTGCATTAACTCCGCGCCGAGTCGAGTTTCGGTATTTCGCCCTTTGATCTCGACGAGGGGTGGGCGGGCGGACGAGAGCGGGAGTGCGGGCGGGCGCGCATGCATCCGTAATGCATCCGTCCGAGCGAGCTGCAAAGCCGCGCCGCGCCGGATCGGAAGGCGCATTCGATATGCGCCGGACCGCTTACGCGCTTTCGTAATTCAGAGCTTCTTCGATGGCCGCGAGTACAACGAGAGAGAGAGAGAGAGAGAGAGAGAGAGAGAGAGAGAGAGAGAGAGAGCGAGCGGTGGTGTGGCTCTCCGGCAATCCGTTATCGACGTATTCGCATTTACGACCGTTCGGCGTCCGTTGGGCATTCATCGATATAGATCCTGATAGAAAGGGGGCCCGCGCAGGGGAGGGAGAAAGGGGGAGAGGGATGGGCGTTATTGCGATTGAACGTAGAGCTGACTAATATCGCGCGGCGTCAGCGAGCCAACGCGTCAGAATCCGTTCACGTTAATGCATCCTGTTGCACTTTATCGCGCGCCAGACGGAAATCGAAGCGAATTCGTGCGGCGCGGAACACAGTCGCATTCTCGCGAAATTGCTCCCGAGGAAAATCGGGAGTAATAGATGCCTTTTTAACATTCGGCATATTATTCCGTCGACGAGACCGTCGGGATGAAGAATACACGAAGCAAAAAAAAGTGTATTAGTAACACTTGACTGAAAATTCATATTTTCAGCGCCATTTCGTTCTACCTTGATCAGAGTTTTCAGAAAGGGATTAAATTTTAACAAACTCCCGCACCACGCCGCCTGATACGCGCGTATTTTTATCTCGTCCTGTCGCGTCGTCGTCGTCGAGAGAGAGAGAGAGAGAGAGAGAGAGAGAGAGAGAGGCGTATCGCGAGATCGTCTTTAATCAATGGGGACGCGGCAAACAGCCTGCTCAATCAAAATCCTTATTATCCTTAGCGGGTTATGGTAAACGCAACGACGGGCCTCGTTAGGCGCACCCTCGTTTCGTCTCGCCTCGCCTCGCCTCGCCTCGCCTCACCTCGCCTCACGTCGCCGTCGTCTTCGCGTCGTCCGCGTCCGTGTTTGCGATGTCGCGCGGTGTGTAATTTCGACGTGCAATGTTTGCGCTGCCGCGCGGGCGGGATGGCGCACGGCGGCAACGCTTAGGTACACGGGGGATAGTCGCATCGGCGCCGCGCCATGGCACACGGCGCCATCGATCTTGACGAAGACCCGTAGGCAAACACGTCCCACCATAGGGCGCAACCAACCCGTGTGCCCCAAGTGCTTACGTTAAACCCGGCGATAAGAAAGGGCCGCGCCTTCGGCCACAACCGGCCGCGCCGGGAAATAATTAATCCGATTTGCGCGGCTAAGCCGCGCGCGGGTGCGCGGACCCTCGCGCCGGAAAACGAGCGTTTCATAGTGGCGCGATGGGGTAGCAATATTACCCAAGCTTTGCGGCGAACCTGTCGAGTGACGTTAGTTATCGCCCAGGAAAGTAAAGATGTATTGGGAATCGTGAAGTGTTTAAAGAAAAAAGAGGGTTGTTTTCGTCAGGAATTATTGACTGAAGGCTCACTTTTATCACGAGCAAAATGACTCCGCGTAATAATATTGTAAGAATTGTAGATTCTGACTATATGATCTATATTTTTTTATTTTGTGCATTGCCATGAAATTTTCGATAGACGGGAAGAGGATCTAGTTATCTGCTTGGTTAATTTTAAGAGAAACTTTTTCTTTCAGGAGAACTACGTACGTTTGCCACAATAAAAGTGCAATACCGTGGGCTCTTCCACGGCTGTCAACGATGTATTCCCGCGTAACTTATTCTTTAAGTCCGCCTTCCCCTACCGGGGGATACCGTCGCGGAGTTATCCCGACGAATTACCTCAGAGACCACCGTGGAAAACCGTTCGAACTAAATAATCAAAGGTCGTGGGGTCGTCGACTCCGCTTCACACGAGCCGCCGCTGGATCAATGTTATTCGGCCCGAGGCGTTTTTTTTTTCCCGCGGAGCTCCGCGACGAAACGACAAGGGAGAACGAAGCAGAAGGAGCGTGGGCTGATGACGGGCCGCTACTTTTATTCCTCGTCGACTGTTCGTCGAATCGCTGCGCCTTAGCCCTCCTTCGTCTTTTTCCTTTTTTTTTTGTCTACGCCGGAGCGACGTATTGGAGAGCAAACAGCTCGAACGAGATTACCGCGTGCAAAAGACTTTTTACGAGACGCGTCTTGAAAGAGATTGTCAAGAATTACATTATCCTCCCCCTCGCTCCGCTATCCCGCCCACCCCTCTACCTCCCTCCCCTTCTTGCTCTTGCGCCGCCGCCGCGCCGTCGTCGTGATGCGCGGTAAATAAAGGACGTCGACTTGCGAGATGCCCTCGAGAAGGCGACGGCGAACAGTCGTGCTCGCGTGACGCTGCAGACTGTGCATCGATTTGCAACTCAAAATTATTTACTGTGGAGATAACGAATGGAAGATAAATAACTTCGTGGGCGCAACGTCGCTCTTTCGCTCCTAACAAAAGGAAAGACGGTGTTTTTATTACCGGCATTTTTATAACCGCCTTAATACGCCGCGCTGGTTGGTAAAGTCTTACTTCAGATTAGAAAGAATTTCGCGCTGCCAAGATGTTTGCGCCGGCAACTTCTTAGACGCGCTTCAAGTTCCCGAGCGTTTTAAATCCCCCGGCTTTAATTCCCGAACGCTTAGAACACTCTCTGTGCACACTCTTCTCGTCAGCTTGCGGTAATAAACTTAAGTCAAATCGTGGCGAATTGACTTGGGCGCAATTTACTCGGTGGTAACTTCGGACAAACGCGCGATTCGGTGTTCCCTCCTTTCGCGCGATTCAGACGAGATTCAGACGAGAACTCGGGAAGCTGTGACTCCGTCCTCTTTATTTCTCCTTCCCGCCCCCCCCCTCCCCCCACCTCCCGGAGTGCCGAGGGGAGAGAAAAGCTCTCTTTATCTCGTCAAGTCGGCGCCCATCTCGCGGCGCCCACTTCACTACGAAGCGGCAACGAGAAGGAGGACTGACCCTCCGCGTCCGCGTCTCTCTCTCCCGCGCCGCGCCGAGTCTGCGGCAATTTTGTACATCGCGAAAAGTTTCACAATTAGTCTTGGAACTTTCATAATTCCGCAGCTTAACCCGCCTTGTTTTGCGGCCAAGCGTTACCGCGGTCGGTTTAATTTATCATTTCACTTCTCACCCGGCTAGAAGAGAGCGGCCGCTCTCCTCCCGAAACGCGTGCGCGCGCTCCTTCTCGCTCTACGTTCGTCCTTGCTTGTCCCACGCAATTTCTCATCCCGAGTCGAATCTCGGGGAGCGTTTTAATGAGATCTTATTCTCGGATTAGGTCGGCTGGAATGTTTGAACAGTACGTAATCCGCATCTTACTTGCGCGTCCTTCGAGCATTTTTAATTCGTCATTTCTAGCGAGACTTTCGGATTTTTGTACAAACGAACTTGCGTCAAAATATAGATTCCGACTTGAAATGTTAAAATTTAAAGAATATAAAAATAGCGCGATAAAAAATTTAGTACGATTCCTAGAGCGGCTCGAATCACCTAGTTGAATTTATTGTAAGTTCTGGCATGCACAAGCGGCTTTACAACGACAAACACACACGAGAGAATAGGAGATGGATGTGGCGGACGAGAGTATATACGGACGTGATTGCAGGAACAACAGCCGAGCAACCGCCAAACATTATCCTATTAAATACGTGGACGGCCAGTCAAAGAGTTAAGGGGTACAGGTCAGCCACAGTCGCGGCTCCGCGCGCGCGGCGGTCGTGCCAGCGCGAGCCATTCCACTCGCCCGTCGTAAAGTTACATTGTGGCGAGATAATGCCCTGCAAAACGGCGCGTCGGTGTAGCCGCGCGAGAAGGTTAACAGAGAACGTTCCTACGTACCGCACGTTTCGGCGAAGTGATTTTCGTTGAATTTCTCAAGATTTTCCCGTGGGTAAAAATTGAAATCCGATCGGATTGAAAAAGAAGAGGAAACGGAACAAATTTCAGATCGATTTCCGGTACAATGGAGGACTTCCGAGTTTCCAATCATGCACGACGAGTTTGCGTACCGTTTAGAATTTTTCTTACTGAAATACGATCGAGATCCCCATTTATTCTTCAGACGACATATTCATCGTTCGCCATTAGGAGCGGCGCGGCTCAAATAATGGAAGATACGGTAAATTTATGCAACAATTCAACATCCCGAGCTAGACGAATCCAAAGACACTCGGCACTTTCATCCGGCCGCCGCCGTGCCGCGCCGGTGACACGCGGCGGTGACAATAGCGGGGTATTTCGACTGCCGGTAAATTTAGTCGCGGAAAGTTAAAGACTTCGTCGCCTTGGGAAGACGGGGAGAAGTCACGGGGAGAGGGGGA